CCCCCCCCCCCCCCCAACATTTTGGAGTGTGGGATGATGAATATATGAGATGCAGCAGGCACTTTAATTAGAGTGGCTCCTTAGAGCCACTCTAATTAAAGCACCCCCCCCCAACCACCCCAGAGCATGTGTAAAGATGTCCTTAGTGACTTTTTTTCCTCCGCCTCTCCAGAATTATCCCATTTGTCCGTCCTGTGCGATATGAAGATGTTCAGCAGAAGGTGAAAACAGCCTTTGGTCAGCCACTGGATCTCCACTACATGAACAATGAGGTACAGAGGCACTTGCCAGACAATGTGCAGTGGTTTCTTCAAAGAATTTCCCATGTTCAATCCCTTCTTGAGTGTTACTTTGCAAGTTTCCCTGTGACATGAATGGTTACTGCACAATTCCTCTCTAGAGGACAAATGTCAATTACTGACAAATCATTGCACTGATTTCTCTCTGCAGTGGGAACATTAACATTTCATTTCCTCCTTTTTTTTGGAGACTCTAAGGGAAATGAAGGGAATCTGTAGTAATGTGGCCATTGTACTATCCATCTCAAATGCTGGCACTGCTGAAATGCCATATTGTCTCTGACCTATCTGACCATGTCACAGCCTTCCACCTGGCTGTAACCATTTTCATACTACATCCTCCTGGGGAGGGAATTTTTTTAAATATAAAAAACAGCCTGTTTCTTACCAGCATAACTGTTGAAAAAAATATGCAAGTGAATCCTCAATGTTGGTGCATGAATTAGTGTTTTTAAAATCAAAGCTAATTGTTCAGAAAAGGTGGTGCATAGGATAATTATGGAGTGCTAGAAACTCAGCATTTACTGTCTATTTAAGGCATAGTGAATGCTTATTAGCACAGTGTTCTACTTGGTGCTGTGCTATGCTTAAAGGCAGTCCTTGCCACAAACACTTACAGTCTGATAGAAGCTGACAACAGGATGTGATAGAGAGGAAAGAAGATTTTTTGTTATACTTGAGGCACCAGAAGTTAACCAAAGAGTAGTTAGCATCTTGCCCCAAATTCTTCTGTTCCCCTGATGTGTATACCTTTGAGGAAAACTTGAGTGGAGGGAGCATGCTGGGAGAGCATTGTGGTAAGACAGACAGAAGTGGGAGGAGGAAGCGAATAAAACTTTTGCAAGGACACTGGTATCTTAGAATTAACAGTAGAGGTGAGAGAGATTTCCCAGTCTGGGATTGGAGATGAGGACAAGAAGTTTGAGCTTGTTATCCCGGGCACTGAAAAATCAGTGGAGGGGTCAAAGGGTGGAGATCTAATCGAATTAATATAATTTATCAGCTGGGTTTGGTTGATGTGATGGCATTCAGATTGCTGGAAAGAGGACAATTGCAATGTGTTGATGGTTGTATACATTTTAAAGGAAGTGTGTGTTGTTCTGAGATGGTAGAATATGTTCTTCATCTTACTGCGTATGAATTCTGCTCTCCTTCCCCCCCATTATGGCTGTCTAGAGCTAAACAGTGCAAATATAAGCTCTATCCTAGAGGGCCTCTGAAATCTCATAGCTTTTTAGCAAGTTCAAGATTTTCCTTTGACTCTTCCAGAGGGACTCCATTCTGTCTAATCTAACTACTATCCTTTGTCTCTACATTAGCCTCTTATCTGAGATCCACTTCCTACCTATTCCTCTTGTCCCCAGTTTACCATATTCCTTGTGAAACTGCTTTCTTGTCAGATAAGGAATATGGTTCTGACCTTATTCACTGACACTCAGAACAAGTTCAAGAAGAAATCCAGGATTGTTTGTTTTGCTGATCTCTGGCAAAGGAAAACCTTTGTGGGGGGCAATTAGCTTGAGAAATGGGGGCAAGAGAGATCCTGAGCAAAAAGATAAATTCTCCTCACAAAGAAAGGATGCAGAGTTCTCAGTTGTCCAGTCTCATCTACTGAATCTTCCAGTTTTGTTTAAACCCCTTATTGCCTGTATGTGGTGTTAATATCTCTGCTAACTTTGAATTTATGTTCTATATTTTGCAGTTATCTATTCCCTTGAAAAATCAAGATGACCTGGATAAAGCAATAGATCTCTTGGACCGAAGCTCTAATGTGAAAAGCCTTAGAATATTACTACTGTCTCAAGACAGAAACCATGTAGGTAACCTGCTTTGTAGCATTACAACTAAGTGATACTTGAGGTTTTCTTTATGACCTCTAGTTAAAGGTCCTTGCGTTATAATGGTACCCTGGTAACAGGGATAATATGTAGTAGTAAGGCTGCTGTGCTTCACATACATACTCTCTTTGCCTGAGTTTTTATATGTTTCCCCTGATTCAGCACACTTGAGTATTAAAATACTAAACAGAGGATCAAAGCTATAATTATAAAGGACATTTATTGCCAATATCCCCTCATAAGTAGATTCAGATAACATTCGATGGATCTGGTTCACAGGAAGGTCGTTTATGGTTTTGATTAAGATGGCACATGCTACACAAGTTTTAATAATTTAGCATTCGGTGGTTACATTTTTATTGACAATATTTGAGAAGATGAAGGGGGGGGGCACTTACTGGAGACTAAGTGCAGTGTGTGGAGGACTTTGGCTGTGTGTCTAGAGAGCAAAAGGTCCTGCCTGTGTAAACTCTGGCAATGTCCAAACTTTATTTAATAACGTACCTTTCTGAAAGCAGGCCTCATTCTTAAAGGCATGCTATTGGCTCTTCCTATGGGTCAGCATTCCTTAGGGCATTGCCCTCCAGAGCTACAGAGCCTTTCAGTTTGAATCCCTCCTGGTAGGAATGGTGGTGTGCTCATCTAATTACTGTTTGTTGGCACCTGAGATGAACTTCAGGGGTTTTGGTTCCAGCTTTCTTACCGCAAACACACCATGATTTGCACTAATTGGCCAACTTGGAAGAGAGGACCCATAAGACTGAAAGGTCCTGTTAATTTGAGAGTGAGCATTCCACTAAACTCCCCACATCGTGGTTGAGCCGTGCTGGCATGGCAGTGGTGTCAAAGGATCTTGTTCACCAGGGTTTTAATTCAGTGTCTCTTACCAGTGTTAGCTTCTAAAACTCTGTGGATTTTAAATTTCACATTTGAACACAGATTATTTGCAAATAACCTAATTAATTTCCATTGAATGGTACATGGAACTACCCAAAACAAGACAGCTTTGTTTTGAGTAATTTCTGTCAAATCTTTAAAGCTCATTTCTATTAAACTCTTTTAGAATCTCCCCAAATGTCAGTACTTAGGATCCCTGAAAATTCCTGGTGTGGCCAGATTCAAGGACATAAAGTTTCTTTATGATATTTCAGACTTCATAACCCCTGTTAACAAATACAGTGACTCCTGGATGCAGTTTAACAATACTTTTGTGCTCTCAAGAAAATGGCCTTGGAAATGTAGCCTCAGTTTTCTTGGCATGAAGGTAAAAACTTTAGACAATCCTCTTTTTTTACAGCCTTCTATTAGCTTGAATACTTTCAGGCTATAACCTAGATGTAAGTAATATTATCCAAACTTTACACACACCCTAGGTAATGTCCTAGAGTAAACACTTAATGAAATGCCTTCTCTCACCAACCATTAGTTAGTCCTGTGATGTCTTTTATTAGGTGTTTTTCCTCTTCTGCTTGAAGCAGAAGCAAACTCTTCCACAGTGAAGTCTTTAGTAGGAGCCACTATTTCCCCTTCTCCTTTGACTTCCTCTTCATCTCTGAGCTGGTTGACAAGACACCCCTGCATGTGATAAAACAGAAGCCCAGGAGCCTAGAGGAAGCTTCTTGCCTGAATGATCTTGTCCCATTGACAGTAGGAAGCATTTTTCCCCCCCTAAAGTACAGGATACAGATTTTGTTTTGATTGGGCTCTTATTTTTTGGAGATGGAAAGGTGATGCAATGACTTGGCACAAATATATACTAACAAAATTAAAGTGTGTGTGTGTGTGTGTGTGTGTGTGTAAATAAAAGTACGCTGTTTAAATCTGCTCCAGTAACTGTGCTACTTTATTTCGAGAGTCTACATTAGCAAGTGCTATTTATGTTTATTTTATAGTGGCTCTTGCTCTGGCGTTTAAAAAAGAAACTCTGATCCTTTCTACCAGCCTAGATACAAATGGGATGAACTGCTGTAGTCATGTGCCTGGACTGGTAAAGAAAATCAACTGGTAGGGCCAGTCAAAATCATCAGCCAGTATAGATGATGTATTAGCTGAGGATCTGGTCTGTCAAGATAGCTACTTCCTGTGTCACTGCAATAGCTATCCCAATGCAATCTCTCATCTCAAATGTACATTCCTTGGCAAAAAAAGTAAAAGAAATTAAACTTTTGTCATACTCTTCATCTTGGCCAGCTCTAGCTCTGGTATAACATTAAAAGACCTAGAGAGAGATGGCTTTGTCTGAAGTCAGGCAGAAAGCAGAGCAGGGTGGCACCTTAGAAAGTAATTTGTTCAGAAATGCATAAACTTGTGTAGACAACAGCCTACTTCATCAAATGTGACGATGAAGCATCTGACGAAGTAGACCATTGCCTATGAAAGTTTATGTATTTCTGAATGAGTTGGTCATTAAGGCTGGAAACAGATCTTGCTATAAATGTTTTTATGGCAGCACAAAGGCATCACAAAGGGCAAGCAAACATGCCCATGCCCGTTCCTGCCTAGCAAAATGTGTAGCTACAAGACAGGTGGTATAAATTTGCCCTGTTATTTTGCATAGATGTCTGTTTGCTTTTTGGGAGAGTGTGAATAGCCCGGAGCTGTCTGTACTTCCTAGCTGCCCCAGGCAGGCTCTCCCAGGGCTTCAGAGGCCTAATGCTGTGCATCCTGGGAAACCCCCAGGCACACATCTCTTCAAATGGGAAACCCAGGGTTCTCCTGTTTGCAGAGGCATGCCCCATGTGTCATGTACACAGGACCAGGCCCCAGCCACTCCTGCAAGCAGCAGGGGCCCAACCCTGCAGAACAATGGGTGATTATCTGTTTTGCCCAACAAAGTGATTAGGCTGTGTCTGCCAGGACCTATTCCAGCACAGCTGATCTGCTTCATTTGACAATGTCTGTTTATACCCTGCCTGGGAGACCTAATGGTAGGAGGGAGCTAGAATAATTCACCATTCAGTGTTGGCCTACAGATTTCTGAGTGTATGTAAGGAGATTGTCTGTGATCATATCTGATTTATTTCCAGCTACATGTAATTTGAGGTCTCTGGTCAGTTACAGACAAGATCTGAGTGAAAAGTGCTGCTCAAAGTTTTACCCGGGTTATTTCCCCAATTTGTAGAGAGAGCAGACTAATTTACCTTGTTGGTCTCCCTTACAGGGAAAATGCCAACACAGTATCTGGGATGACTGATTTTGTGCGTCTGTCTGATCGGTTGGGTGCTTTGGCCCTACTGAGAGTGCTGCCAACTGAAAACACATCCATATCCTTTACTCTTGCTGGCTCCTCTCCCTAAAGAATGCCCTCCAGTCTGAGACCTGTTGCTGTGTCTGTTAGTTCTGTAGGTAGGTGGTGGTGTTTTTGAAAGCACTTGGAGTTGGCCTTGCTCCTGTCCTGTGGGCAGTTTTACCATTACAGTCAGAATTAAATCAATGCTGAGTACTTCTCAAAATGCTAGCCATGCTTGCTGTGTTGGCAGAGCCCAGGATCACCTGACTGTTCCCACCTGATCTCCTCCTGACTCAGAGGCATCTGTTCAGGCTGAGCCACTCCCTATAGATAGATAATGTTACTCACCCCAAATCCCTCCTTCCCCTTACCCCTTCTCAAAAAATAAACCTTGACATGGCAGCACTGTCTGCAGGTAAACTTTGTTCCCTCTACATTTTTTAACTTTAAGCTCAAGCTGTTACTTTTTAACATCGTGCATCCTGTGTATAATAGCTTGTTCAGCCTTTATGTACCAATTACATGCTATATTAAAAGAACACTAATGAAACAAAGTCAAACGTTCAAGTTAGGAAATTCCAGAATTAAGATTGGCTGTGCAACCATGATTCAGCCCCCTTGTGTATATGTGTTATGATAGTCTCTGATTATATGATCATATGCTATTTTTCTACTGGATCCCTGCCTAATTAAATGCACAGGATAGATGGCTCTCACTAAATGAGCAGCTGCTCTGTATTTTTTTTTATCTTCATTGCTTAGGCCTTATTTGTTGCACACTATTCAAACCATGCACAAAAGACAATTACAAATTTCCTCATGGTCTTTTTTGTGGCACTCATTATTAAATTATGAGTGCTTCATAAATATGAACTTACTTTCACAACATCCCTGTGAAAGGAGGAAGAGAGTTTTATCCCCATTTTACAAATGGGGAGCCGAGGCCTAGCAGTCAAGGTCAAAAGTGTTCACTTGTGTATAAAGTGCCTAGGACCTAATTTTTCAGAACATGCAGCGGGCTCAAAGCAGAACTTCTTTGATTTTGGTTGCCACTACGACTGTTTGGTACTTTTGCTAATCAGACCCAGGGTTTAAATTTGGACATTTAGAAAATGTGGCAGAATCGGGTAGAATCCAGTTCTTCAGGGCACTGTTCTCCTGTCTTAAACATGAACTGTCCTATCTCTTGCTACAGTCTTCTGACTCATTCACACCATTTATCTTCCTAAGTAAATAATGCCAAAGTCCTACAAACAGCATCCTTCAGTACCCAGCCCTGACTCTTCTTCTACACTGCATGAGACAAAGGTCATGTAAAATAAACAGAATATAATTTAGACTGTACAGTATCACCTTAATTGATCCCCTTGTACTCGTACTATATCTTAAAGTTCTTAGATTTTGTTTTTGATGTAACAATTTCAGATGTGGAATCAAACATACCTAAATCATTTAAATCCTCAGCTTAGACTAGTTCTAGTTCTTGAGCTGACTGGTAGCAGTATAAGGCTATCATCATCTTTTTTGGAACCTTTACTAGTAGGTTTCACAGATTTTTGGTGATGGCAAAGGTATGATGAAACTTGGGAATCTTGGGGTCCGTTCAAGATCACGAGGGACTGGGCACAAGTGGTCAGACTACTTTTCACCTCCATAACTGGGTCGGTTTCCATGCTGCTGCCTCTGTTTCTGTTCTGTGGATAAATAAAATACTTCTGTTTCCAGGCTTTTATTCAGGTACCTTTTGGCCAGTGGTAAAACTTTATACTTCTGCTCAGTTTCTTCTTCAACCTCTTTTTGCTTTCTGTCTCTGCTCAGCAGATCAGTCCTTCGCCCCATTCTGGGCTGCCCAAACAAGTCAGGATCAAAACTTCCCAATCTGTTGGGGATGTGAACACAACCTACCAGCCTCCGGAGCCGAGAAGTAGACACCTGTCTGTCAGTGAGTATTTCTCAGCCCTTCCTGGTCATCATCTTTCTCTCAAAAATTTGTATCCATGGGTTACAATGATTCTTTACTAGTCAGAGTAGGTGAGCAGTTGCTGAGTGGGGTGTCCCAGAACCAGCTTCTTTGAGTTTGGACATTGTAAAGGCTATTTGAGTCCATTAAATTTCTATTTAGATTATCAGATGCAGCTCATGACATAAATCTAGGACTTTAGAATCTATATCAGGTCACCATAAGGTCGTCAAAGCTTTAATGGGAATACATGAATAACTAAATTAGATGAGACTAGTACTCCACGTGTTCAGATTCTTACCTCTGAGTGAGTAGTAGCAGATAATTTGTGAACACTTAAAAGTTTTTGACTTTTTTTAATAGGATTTTTGTTCCAATGTGGCTTAAACTAGCTCGTTTGTGATGAAAACTGCAGTGAGAATGGTAATGTGCAAGTTAGAGCCTCTGCACTCATTCTCCACAAACTACTTGGCATTAAGCCTAAGAAAAGCCAAGTCTTCTGAGTCAAGCAGCAGCAGCACGCTACAGAAGTTTTGTGTTTAGTGCATGTTTAAGGTGCTTCAGATGATAGATACATGAGTTGTTGTCTCTGCCAGACCTGGGAACTCTGGAATTCTTCCTCCAGCTCCAAAAGCAACTACGCATGTTGGTTTGGAGAGACTACTTACTACTTCAACTCATGTCTCAGTTTTCACCATCTGCAAACTTGGAGGAGAATTCAGTGGGTTCTGCAAATGAAAGCTTGTAAAACACTTGCCTGCTAAATATTGAATCTGATTCCACTTAAATGGGTTTTTTAATAAGGGGGTGCAAACAGGTGTTAGGGGTTCACAGCAGTCCTTCTTAAGGCTTGATTGGGAAAGGGGACAGGGAAGAATTCCAAGATAGAAAAAGTTGAGAACAACTTGCTAGATTGACTTGAAACCTATCTGAGGGTGGAGGTAAAATGCTTGGTTAATTGCTAAGGTGTTTTGTGATATCATATCTGTGTGGTGTATGAGTCACTTAAGTTTATTATGGAAATTTATGGAGGGCGCTTGTGAAGTACAGGCAGCTGAAATGGGAACAGAAGGGACTTCTTTTATATACATGTTAACTTCAAACTAGGGCAGCATTCCTCTGTCTCATAAAGAAAGTGTAGTATCCATGCTTTTCTGAGCCTAATATGGTTTCTTTTTTCACAGACCAATTCAAGTGCCAAAAAATCATAGAAAACAAAGGGGGGGGGGAACCCTTCTCTCCTTTATTAACATGACGAGCCATTCAAATGATACTCAATGTGCTCTGTTAACTTGGTATCTATCTAGGGCAAACAGGATAGTAACAAAGGGCCCCTTCTGTATAATATTCCCCAGCACAAACCTGCCCTGCCTTCCCATCACAGTAATGCTACATACATATGAGATTTTTGGGTCACTAATCATGAAAACTCTATACTATTTCATTTTCTATCCTCATCTGGCTGGCAGGCAAGCACATCATTTTGAGCCCAAAAATAAAACCCAGAGAGGGGCCTCCGTTCCTGCCACTGGTGTTGTAGTATGTAGATCTCAAAGGTGATTTCTCTTCCTTTTCCACTTCCTGCCCCCTTTAATTTGGAAAGAGTAATGCCCTCTAGTTTCCTGGAGGATTTCAGGCTCTTCTTTAATGTCATATGTGGAAAATGGGCAGCTAATTCAGACCAGTGCTGTGAGTGGTGGTTTGACTATACAGATTAGACCTGTGTGGTTGCCTGCTTTCAGCAGCTTGTTGTGCCCTGGGTTCAGAGGTGTTTAGGGTAAAGATAAGACTTATAAAAAGGAAAAAAAAGCAAAAACTGAAAATGTTGCTAAGCACTGTCTGGCAGTGCTTGTGTTTTTTCCACTCATTTCCTTTGATATGCATTGATTTAGTGCTGACTTCCTTTTCCTGCCAAGTGATGGGGGCCTTTCCACAATAGCAGCTGGGCTGAAGCCAGCAGGACTTGGGCTCCCTTCAGTGAGCCATTGCATTGTATCGGAAAAAGTGAAAGTGTACTCTCGTGACTGGATCCAGCTACAAAGCACACGCTCTTGTTTATCTCTGTTCTCATTGGCTGACAGTCTCATGTGACACCCCCCCCCACAAGTTGTTGGGAAAATCAGGCAGTAATTTTAAAGAAGGCAAACTGCTTATTGTCCATACTTGGTACCCCAGGTGTTCGAAGTCATGCTGCAGCCCACACGTTCCATTCCAGAGCTTTCCAAAGAAAACTTGCACCTGCTTTCAGTTAATTGGCACAAATATAACATGTAGGAGAGGGAGGTAGTGACAGGTGTGTGAAATATTGTCCACAGGAAATCACCTGCCAGTCTCTACATGCCTGTCACAGTACTTGGGCATACTGTAACTAATTCAGTAGGTATGAATGTACACACCTGGGAACTGATCATGAAGTTCCACCGGTGACTCTTCACATGACCTTGGACAAGTGATTGTTGGGTGTTCTTATGAATGCAACTCAGTGCTGCTGCAGATCTCCCCTGGTATTCATAATGGCATACACTGAGGTAGTTAGTTAAGTTATTGACAGATGGGCAGGGCTATTCCTGCTACTCAAACAGAATAGTGTTAGTTCAACACATGTTACTTGAGGCAGGAAAACGGTTGTCCTGATAAGAGCATGAAGCTGATTTTACACCAGAGGTTTTGCTGCTGTTAGATGAGCAGGGTTGCGTGGAGGATGCTCCGCCTAGCCTACCACTGTTTTAAATGTTTCACAGGTGACCTTTTCATGGTGCTCCAAACACCAGTACTTGACTCACTGAAGTAATCACTTAACAGCACTGTAAGCTATTGTAAGTAGACACAGAGTTACCATTGAATACAACTGTAATGTTAGTTCCAGAATTGCTCCTATTATTGCAAAGGCTCAAGAACTTCAGAGATTAAGGCTGTGCCTTGCCCCCTTTTCAGAGTTCTTTACCTTATGTGCATGTACATGCAGTCTCTACATAAGTGTCTGCATAATAAACCTACTTCTTTGTCTGGTTCAGGTTCTCAGAACACAGGCCGAAGTTCTCCTCCCCCCGGGTATGTTCCAGAGAGGCAACAGCGAATTGCTCGACAGGGTTCCTATACTAGCATTAATAGTGAAGGCGAATTCATCCCAGAGACCAATGAGCAGTGTGTGAGTATGAGCATGTTGAAGTGTGAGGAAAAAGCCCCAGTCCTCATTAAATCTACCACTGTTTTTGTTCTTTCATATGAGCTGCCATTCTTCACTTAAGCTTGTCTCTACAAATGCTGATAGTAAATATCACTACAATGCATCTTTTTCAAGACTTTGGCTGGGCCACAAGCAGCAGTCACTGTGGATAGCTTGCCCATCTACGAACAGGCCCCTCTAGCTCTGTGGACATGGAAAAGGTGTGCCCGGGGTTGCCACCATCTGGTTCTTGTGATCTGCTCACGCAAGCAGGAAGTTGGTGCCAAGCATAACTTGCAAGTGGAGAAGGCAATTTGGGAACAGAATCACTGCTGCTGGGCTGAAGTGCAATGGGCCACAGCCAGGGAACTCAAGATGGCACACTGGCTAGTCTAGTGCATGCAGGCCTAGATAGCTGTAAAAGTTTAAAGCTACCACTAGCCTCCAGTATGATGTGTATTTCCTTAATTTCCATGTGTACAGATGCAAGTAGACTGAATTTAACCATGTCAGGCTTTTATACTACTGAATTTACTTGATTCCAAGACAAAGTTGTTGTTTTTTTTCCCTGTTTAACATGGGAAGGAAGCCCCTCATCTTGGAGTCCAAGGACAAGGTGGTGTGGGGGCAGGCAGCTGCCCCAGGATTGGAGCTGTTGCCTGCCCCCTGCAGTCTGTGCTCCCTGTCTGTCCCCTCTCCCCTTCCCTGCCCCTTGTTCTGGCCCTGGGAGGCTGTATCCCCAGTCTAGCCTGAGGCACAGAGCATGCCCCAGCCCGGCCCCCTGGCAGCAGCACTGAGCCAGCACAGGGCCAGGCTGGGGCCATGCTCTGCACTCCAAGCTGCAGTGGGGGTGGCACCTGCCAGATGAAGGGCAGGATGCTGGGGGAGATGAGGGAGGAGCATGCTGGAGGAGTAGAGGCTGTTGGTGGGGTAGGGGGCTGAGGCTGTGGGGGGAAGAGGGAAGGATGGCAAGTGGGAGTGCCGGACAGGCAGTGGGGGCATGCTGCTTGACCTCCCCAAACCATCTGCTTTCTCCCACTACCTGCCCCCCTGAAGCAGTGGGAGGCACAAATTTAAGATGACCCTCCAATAATTAGATTCTGTACATGGAAAATTATAACAAATTTATAGATTTTCCGTGTATAGAATCTAATTTTTGGGGGGGGTCATCTTAAATTCAGGATTATCTTACAATCAGGTGATTTATGGTATCTGAAATGGCCTTGTAGTTTTGAACTGCTGTTGCAACAAATTCTTGGGGAGATGAGCATAGTTATGCTTTCTAAAGAGTCTCCTATCCAATCTGGACCGACTCTGGGGAAGCAAAAGTGAACCCTGCATTTTGCTATGCAACATCTTTGGTAGCAAAATCAGCCCAGCCCAAGTACCTAAATTTTCATGACCTTGTCTTACAGATATTGGATCCCCTAAGCAGTGCTGAAAACTCGATATCAGGAAGCTGTCAGTCCTTGGACAGATCTGCAGACAGGTACAAATACAAACTGACCAGAGGCCCAATGGGCATCTGTACACCCCCTGGAGTGACAAAGCTGTGCTCCAACACGTTCTAATTGGCACACATCAGAGCATACTCGATTAATCGAGAATACTGGGTGTCTGCTAGAGCTTGCTAATTAACGCACTCCAGCAGCCTCCACATCACAAGTCTTCAGCATTTCAGTGTTTCAAAATAGTGGCAGGGGTGCTTTAACTAAAACTTGTCCAACAAACATTAGTTAAAATGCCCCTGCCACCATTCTGAGGTGTGGGATGCTGAATCCATGTGATATTGCAGGCGCTTTAATTAAAGCGCTCTCAAGGCCGCTTTAATTAAGCGCCACCCTGAAGCACATGTATAGACACCCTGTGTGATCACATTCTGATGCCATTTGAGCTTGTGCAAAAGTCAGTTTGTTTTTCTTTTCAGACCATTTTCCTTGAAATTATAGGGTTCTATTCCTACATAATTTCCCAACGCATTTCGTAGAATTAACTGCACTGCAAAGCTGTGTTATTTTTCTTAGCAAAACCATACACCAACAAAGTAGAGCCTATGTTTTAAAAATTCAAGCTTTCAATGCGGGCAGTTTCCCAGTCTAGACTTTATAACATCTGGCTTCTGGGCACTGAGATCTCCAAGAAACAACGCTTGCTTGTTCATTTAAAAAAAAAAAAGTTGCAAGAGCATATCATTACACTATATCTCTTTTGTCAAATGTAGCATTTGTTCCGAAGGAAGATGGAGGACTCTCTCTCTCTTCCTACCCACTGCTGAATCCCGTGTAGTGGCAGTGATTCTCACCCTGTGCTTGAACAGATACAGAGAAGAATGTTCTCTGTGTACCCACCTGTTGAATGCACTAAATGCTTGGATTTTCCTAGGGAAAAGAAAAAACTCCTCTCCCTTAACCAGATCTTTTGTTCTGCTTCACTCCACACCCCCCTTCTGAAGACAGTTTCTAAAGGTGTCTGCTGCCTATATATCAAATACCATCTCATATTAGAGTGGGGAAGAGGGTATGAATTTCTGGATAGCTGTTATGCTAAACTTCTAAGTTGAGGTGCACAGCTTGTAGAAGAGAACCATACATGGGCCACTGAAAGAGCTAAATAATCATAGGGGTTGTTACTGCTTGGAACGTCCCAAATAATCAAGTCCTGAAGCAGACCTCTTCTGATTTTGGAGAGCTGAACTTGAGGCATTTAAAGGCCTAACTTTCAGAATTGCTGAGCAGCTGGTGCTTTCTTTGATGTTGGCTGGAACTGTGGGCACTAGCACCTCATAATATTGGGCTCAGCATGCCTCCATTTGAGATCTCCAAAACTGATTTTTCAGTAGCACTAAGCAGTGTGTGCTATGATGAACACAAGATCTACTTCTGTAGTCATTCAGGTTCCTGCCAATGGTTTTGGGGCATTAAAGGAGTTCAGACTTCAGTTTCTTTGCACCAAAATACCCTGTGTTTGTAGAGTTTTGATTGTTCCAAAATAGCCTACCCAACAACTCCCTGTGGGGCTTGGTAGGATCTGGGGAAGCTGAGGTTCTAAGCCCTACAGTAAGAGAAATCTTTTGGGGAATGTGAAAGGTTGGTTATCCTTACTCCAGCAAAACCTATTTAACACATGAATGCAAGAAGCCTAGTTTTGTTGCCTGGACAACATTTGTCTAACCTCCCTTTCCAACCTTCTGGGATGACATTTTGAAGCTTGCTGCTGCAGCAGTGTGCAGTACTGCGTGACAGAGCATCTGTGCCAAGCAAGGAAATGCTTCTTATCCCAGTACGAAGGCAAATCTGGGGGTACAAGCTGGACAACTGGCCACACTTGGAGACAACCTGGCTAACAAGGCCTCAGCCTGATCTTAGCTTTCCAAGTGCTGAACCATGAAATAAGTTGCCGTTGCACAAGCTGTAGAGCTGAAGAAGCAGTTCTACAGCGGGTGGTAGGAGAAAGGTTTGAGAACTGCATATGCCCACCTGCATCTTCATTAACTTCCTTTTGAACTCAGTTTATTTTCAATTCCTGTAAATCACTGTCTAAACTGTCTTGTTCTTTATTGAAATAGCCCTTCATTTCGAAAGTCACGGATGTCAAGAGCGCAAAGCTTCCCTGACAACAGACAGGAGTTTTCAGGTATGTTCAAAAAGTATAAAAAGCATTTAGTTATAGCCATTGAGAGGTTCTAACTCTTAGCATTTTAATCAAAGCTGCTAACTGTACAGGTGTCTTTCCTCTTTTGCTGTTTACTCTTGTATGCTGGGTAGTTTATAAGATAGTTTTCCCATCAACTTCAGAATTTGCTGCCTTTTCCCCTGAAGCCTGTTTGTAGTGGAATGCCCTGCCATTGTAACTTGTGTACATTGCGTAAGGAGTCTTACTTTCTGCCTCTTCATGTCTGCTCCCAGATCGTGAAAATCAAATCTATGATAAAGCAGGGAAAGGTGGAACATACCCTCGACGTTACAATGTCTCCATGCAGCACAAAGACTACAATGATGGTAAGTGTTTTGCAGCCCTTTAGTTCCCAAATTGAAAAGGTTGGTGAGGTAGTAACTGTATTGGAGATGGGTCAAAGCCTTTGGGTGAACCACTAGAGGGTTAAAATAACCCATCTATTTGGAGATCCTCATTGCACACTGCTTCCTCAAGTGCATAATTTGTTGTATCAGGTTTTCCTACCAGTGCAGGTTTGGTATGTACCCTGCTATATATGATCCTTGCTTACTCTTTCCTTCCTCTCCAGGGATATCCATGCTGAACAGTTATTGCTGAATAACCACATTACCCACAGGCTGGGGCACTATAACCTGAAGAGACTTCTGCCCTGTGCATCTCCCCTGCTGGGCTGATCTGTAGACCAAACCTGGTCTGAACCACTAAGCTCTTTTAAAGTTTGCTTGATTCAGTGCAACAGTAATGATTTAAAGAAATGGGTGTCTGCTAGTCAGGTGGCCTGCTGGATATCTGGCAAATTTTACAGCGATTAACTTGGTCTTGCCTGTGTATCCTGTGGAACTACCTTTTAATAAGTGAGGCTGTTACCTAGCAAGTCATTTTCTTGTTTGTCTTACTGCAATCTGGGTATTAACAAACCTTGGAGCTTACATGGCAGCTTGTGCACTGTAGATCTTCCTCTTTGCTTTAGAGAGTAAAAAGCTTGGTGAGACTGCTGGAGAGCAGCACCCAAGAGGGACAACAGTAAAATGACTGCACCTCCCTTCTCCCTAAGCAGTAACCCTGGATTGGTGTTTCTGAGTGTCTTCAGTATGTTGGTGGGTTTCACATAACATGTTCAGCTACCTCTCTTTTTACCTAGGTCTCAGGCTTTGGTGATGCTTTCCTACTTATGCATAAATCATTTGGAAAAACCTAACTTTCTTCTCCTCCCCCTCCCTTCCTGCCCTGTTTAATCTCTTAAGGCCGGAGGACATTTCCCCGGATACGTCGTCACCAAGGGAACTTGTTCACATTGGTGCCATCAAGTCGCTCCCTGAGCACCAATGGGGAGAATCTGGGCTTGGCAGTGCAGTACTTGGACCCACGTGGGCGTCTGCGGAGCGCTGACAGCGAGAATGCCCTCTCGGTGCAGGAAAGGAACATCCCAACTAAATGTAAGCATCCTTGTGCCAAAGCAGCCAATCCAGGGCTGTGATTTGTTGGAGGAGGCAGTAGACCCAGATGAGCAGGAGAGGGAGGACTGTTGGAAATCAGTTCCAGATCTATCATGTGACTACCCAAGAGCTTTGCTAGAACAAATAACTCCAAAACTGTGCAGCTATAGGTTTTGTATGGGCAATAGTTTTCTACCTTTTCCTCCAGTAGACCATTTCTAAGTACCATCAGAGACTGGTGCCCCTCCTGCTGTGTACCCTCTGCTTCTCACTTGTGGTAGGAAAAGTCAGTGAGAGTACAGGTAAAAAGGCATTTCCATCCTTGGAATACCAGGGTTGTCTTCTGCTTCCTAATGTTCTAGTCATGCTGTTTAGCAAATTCCATGTCAGTCTGTGATTGACTGCAGAAGAGCAAATTAAGTGCCTGGCTATGACTAAAATAGCCAAGTAGTCACTAAATAAAAACATGTATATAAAAATATTTGACAAGTCTCTAAAATGCCCTGTGCTATTTCACTGTTGGTGATCCATCACAACAAGGGTCTATCTTCAGGTTCCTACTGAGAGTTGCCTTTTCCTGTTTTTTTGGGTTTTTTTGTTTTTTGTTTTTTGTTTTTTTTTAAGCATTAAAAATTCTGCCACAAGATAATATCTGAAGTCAGCTGACTCCAGGTGATGCCCAGGAATTTCAAGCAGTCATTGAAGAGCTGCTTTTTAATAGGTTTATCTATCATGTTTAGAATGAAGCTTTTAGACTGATTAATTTGTTACCAGCTAAGAATTATTTTTGCTCTTACAGTTCCAAAATAGGAAGGCTTATTTTTATGTGAAAGCTACGTATTTTGTATGGGAATGTTTTTCAGTTTGTTAAAAAAAATACTAAAGTCTATCCCTTTTAAAAGGATTTAGTATTAAAATGTGAGAGCAAAGTATTAAATGTGAGAGCTTCAGAGAGTTGATATTCTGAAACTTAATGCCATAATTAAGTCGTCAAGCCAACCAGTCAACCAATATAAAGTCATTTGATCAGACTTGTCTCTTTAAAACATAGACTCACAGTAGCAAAGCCAACTTTTTTCGGCCCCCCTGCATTCTTCTGTTGTCCAGGTGGTTGTACCACGTTTGTTTATGGTTTTATAACAAAAGTGCTTTCATATGGACTCTGTTAAGTACAGGGGTCCTGATGTTCCACTGTCTGCATGCACTCTGCATTTTTATTTGAAACAATGCATAGTGGAAGAAAAACACTGCATGCCCAATTTAGTAATGGGTTATTCCTACTTTGCACTCTGCATTGGTGTAAATTAGGGGTGCACAGATAAAGATTTTTTGGGCCAATACCAATAGCCAATTATTAACCAGCCGTGTCAGCGGATGCCGATCTGATAGCCAATTTTACAGGAATGTAGCCCGGCAGCTTGGAAAGCAGCCTCCTGCCGGTAAGTCTGTGGGGGAAAAGGATGGGGGGAGGAAATGTTTAGGCCCAGCCCAGCCTGCTCACTAGGAAGTCTGGCACAGCCCCTGGCTCCGAGCCCACAGCAGGAAGCCCATGCTTACCCCGTGCACAAATGCAGGGGGGCACATGCCCCCCATGCCTCTGCCAGGGGTGCATACAGCAGGGTCCCAGGGTCACATTCAGCACCATGGATGGCCTGCCCCTGTCCATGCCCCACTCCCCCCTTCACCATGGGGGCCTCAATCTGCTGGCTCTCCCCCATGCACGTCCCTTCCCTCCCCACTGCTTATTGGCCAGATGCTGCTCTCCAAGCTGCTGGGCTGCATTCCTGGCCACACGCACGCTGCAGCTGCACGCAGCATTTATTGGTGACATTATCAGCTACACTGGCCAAAAAAAGCCGATTGCCAATAGTTAATTTTCCTTTTATCGGTGCCGATCCGATATGCCACTGATATATTGGTGCAGCTCTAGTGTAAATGACTAAAATGTGTAGTTCAGCAGGAAATTGTGCTTTATTATTAGAAACTCAGATGCAGAACTTCTTTATGCAATACAGTGGCCTCATCTACTCTAGAATAATTAGGACTGATAAATGCCCACTGGTACAATCCTACCTATGGTAGCAATGGTGGAGTTTTTATCTGGAGCATGCAAGTGCTTTTATTGGTGTTATCTAACACTATAGCAGCAGTTGATTAAGGGGCCTGCTCTCTGGTTATACAATAGCCTCCTGCTTTTCAGCAGCCAATGGGAATTTATAATTCCTAATTTCACTATTGTAGGCAGGCCTT